AATGTCTTTTTAATATTAAATTACAATAAATACAAAATTAAATTCAATTCAAATAAATAATTAATACACATGTATTCAATATTTTTCAATATTTCGTGTTACTAGGGTATTTTTTCGTGTATTATTATTTTGTGTGTTGTTATAATTGACTAAATAGGTTCAGAATAAAATTAAATGAACATTTTATAAACAAAGTCATAGCAATGCGTGACCAAAGCATCCTATTGGATTGGAAACTAAGTAATTGCCGATTTCAATTATAGATGTCTCTCACTTCTATTTTTATTTTTTATATTTATGTCATCCTAACCTAGCTTTACAAATTCATTGCGTAGATATTTTCTTAAAATTTTTTTTTTTTATCTCAATATTAAAAAAAAATTCTTGTATTTCATTGAACAAATCGGCAATTACTTAGTTTCCAATCCAAAATATATATAAACATACCAGAATTTACGCACATGAAACAGGCGGTATTTCCGAGTCTCGTTATAGTCCCAAAGCTATAAGCAAATGCCAAAAGAGAAAGAGAAAGAGAAAGAGAAAGAGAGAGACCGGTTAAAAAGACTTTTAGGTCGAGAGACGTAGTCTCAAACAAGACTTGGGTTTGACGGTGACTGTGGTGTAAGTAAGTAAGTACTTACGTTGGGTTGGTTCTGTTGGTTAGAGAGTTGGTAAAAAATAACTAGGAAGGAAGGAAGGAAGGAAGGGTGTTGGTAGGGTAGGGTAGGGTAGGGTAGCCACAGCACGTTGGAATTCTCGCATGAGTTAAATTACGAGGATCGTTCGAGCCTGCGGGTGTTGATGAAGCAATTCCCCGTGTCGGCCATTATCGGAGGATAAACAATTACGCGTGCCTTTTGTTCTTTTTAGGTAAGCAGCAACAGCAGCAGGATGGTGCGTGTCAGGAATGCTAATATACTCTGTTCGCAAGCTTCTTGTAACGTACACGTGCGCTCAATTCCTTGTTGGAGAAGTCAGAAAGAAAGAGAGAGTGAACAGATATAGGAAAAAAAGTGTGAAAGAAAGATAAAGAGATAGAGAAAGATAGAAAGAGAAAAAAAGTGTATTCAAGACTCTTGCAAACGTGCTCGAAGCCATGGATGGACCGTTTTTTCATTAAGGCCAAAGATAGTAGTAGTAGTAGTAGTAGTAGTAGTAGTAGGGCAACCTTCCAATGTTATTACAGCTCTTTCCTCTTAAACAACGATCCCGAGTTCTGACTCGAAAATATATTAAGTGCTTCGTTAAAGGAAATATCTTTATTTATTCCTTCCTATACGTGTGTGTGTGTGTGTGTATGTCTCTGTATATAGAAACTGTATATTCTTATATATCATACTTTATCAATTGACTTCTTGTATCATTACATATTGTACTTATATTTAACGTAGGAACATTTGTTTGAAAGGTAATCGAATTATTTCTTCTTAAATGAGTTCAACAAAAGATGGTCTGTTTTTCTTACTTTGTTTGTTTGTTTGTTTCTTCTTTCTCTTTCTGGTATATGGAGCTAGTTGAAACATGAAAAACGGTATCATTGAAAACGCTAACGAACGTATCGCAAGAGAACATTACTGAGCAATGGAATGGTTAAAACGAGGGTTGAGAAGAGATCGGATACCACAGCCAACAGCGAGCTGGCCACTAACGAAGGGTTAACGAGCACCAGCTAGCTGTATGTTCTTCTGGCCGTGCTCGTTAAACGCTTCGAAAATCTAGAAATTTTCAAACCTTTAGGATCACCCTTTTTTTTTTTTTTTACTCTCACTCACACTCTGTCTGTCTCTTTCTCTCTCTCTGACTTTTACTCTTTTTCTTTTTTTTTTTTGTGCACGTTTAAATGCTTCTCCAAAGCGTTACAACCGCACCTACTACTACTATTTTACTGCTGTGTTGCTTTAATAATCGCGAAAGCTTTTTCCCTGCCCTTGGTCTTATTCCCTCGAGCGTGACGAAAAAAGCTTTAACAACGTCCAATATAAGGGCTCGATCGGAAATAAATCCTAATGAAATTTATCTATTAGAATTAACGTGTAAATCTAATCAGAAAGTGTTTCAAAATTGATCGAATTTTGCAATGATATTTCAATGTAATTGAAATTAACAACAAACATTATGCTTCGTGTTTCGTGAGATTAAAAATGATAATATTTTTCAATAAATTTACGAAATATAATATAAATATAATATAAGTATAAAATAATATAATATATAGATATATTATTAATATAAATATAAAGAGAAATATAATATAATATAAATAAAATAAAATAAATATAAAATAATATAATATAAATGATATCTTAATATATATAAATTACGTGTCACGTTGTTTGTCCGCAATGGACTGCTAAACTACTGAACCGATTTTAATTAAATTTTACACACTGTATGCAGTTTCATCTAACTTGAAAGATAGGTTAGTTTATATCTCAATTTATAATCGAATTATTTGTTTATTAACAAAGAGTCATGATTATCTCTTTTAGTTCGATAAGATTCTAACAGATGGTGGTATAAGGTAATTCGTTATATATATAACTGATTAGAAATAAATACCTGATAAATAAATCTGATGTTAAATGATATATCAATTCGATTGAATAAATTGAATAATTTATCGTAATGAAGAAAATATCGTCTAAAAAAAAAAAAAGGAAACTCTTGAAATTTTTAATGCGTGATTTAAAAGAAAAAAGAAAAAAAAAAAGAAAAAAAGGGAACGTTCTCTCTCATTCGAGTCGTTGAAAAGAGGGCGTCTAGTGAATCCGCAAAAAGGTGATCGATATCCACCTTTGAAATATTAAATGGGTAGTAGGGTAAGTAGGAAAGAGACAAACGTAACCAACGATTATCTTATTTTCAAAGCATTCTTTCACATAACTTCCTACATTCAACATTCTTCATGAATATTTACTGTAAATTATTGTTTTTGATAATTTCATAATATATAATAATTTTACAATATATAATTAAATTGAATTTATTTAATATTACAAATATTTAATAAATTTAATTAAATTATTATTTAAATTTATTTTTATTTTTAAATTATAATTTAAATTAATATTCAATAATATTAAATTAATATTTCAATATTAAATAAATTACAAAATTTAAATATAATATTTCAATATTAAATAAATTACAAAATTTAAATATAATATTTTAATATTCAATAAATTACAAAATGTAAATTAATATTTTAATATTCAATAAATTGCAAAATTTAAATTAATATTTTAATATTAAATTATTATATATTTTAATATTATATAAATCCAATTGAATAATAAACAATCGTTGAAACGTTTTTTTTTTTAACACGAACTAAACGTTTGAACGAATATCTTTTATCTTACAAAAAAAAAAATTTTTTTTAAATAAAAACCCCATAGAGGAAAGATACAAGGGGTGGATATGGTTAACGTTATAGACCAGAGCGCATCCTAACGACGAAGCGTGAAAGATTCTCTTACGATCGATAGTATGGTGATCTGGAACAATGTTCTGATACTTATTCTCAAACCTCGAAATAAAAAGAACACAATTAATCACAAAATCACTAAACCATAAAATCACTAATTATGACAAACACACACCAAATTTTCTTACCATTATACTGTTCGATCAGTATAACAACCCAATAAAAAAGGATGCATATATTTATTTCTATTTGTTCTTTTTACAGATGATACTTTTCAATCAACGACCTTTGTTTATGATAATCAATAAACAAAAATTCTTAAAAATTATACCAAACACATTGAAATGTATTAATTAATTAAACAAAGTGTCATGCTCGAAGGACTCGCTTAAAATTCATACCCACACACACACACATATATATATATATAAATATACCACACGCAAGCATTGTTCAAAGGTTTTATGAGATATGACCTAAAAACTCGATTAGAAATCATCTCAAAAATCACAGCACGGATAAAACAAAAAACAATTTAGATACGTAAGTAAACAAACAAGATCATATTGATCATTTATTCATCATACGATCGAGAATTGACAATTTTCTCGACCTCTTCTTCTTCTTCTTCTTCTCTTCGATACTTAAGAATGCAACTCGTCGAAAAACAACGACGACAAAAAGTGTAACGACGAATCCAACAAGGTGGCGAATTTTACGGTTGCTATTAACAATGACTCTACGGAGTCAACGTACTTCGTCAATCGTTTACGTCAACAACAACACCAACAACAAATTCAACAACAGCAGCAACAACAACAACAACACCAACAAGATTATCAACTGCAACAGTATCTTCAAAGAACATCGAGATGTGGTATACAAACGTTGTCGAGTCACATTCCATCGAACCCGGCAAAAGATATTGTCGAGGATGAACTTAGAAATGATCTCGTTTATGTACATTGTGCCACTACTGAGGACGAAGACGTTGATGAAGATGACGAGGAAGAGGAATCAAGAGGATTGGCTAGGTCTAGATCCTGGCTTTGTTGTCCAGGTGATCGAAGATCTGAGAGAACTGTACCGGTTCATGTAGAAGTGGATTATGCTGATAAACAACATTCTGTAAGTTACATTCCTCACCCCCCCCCTAAAGATCATTTAATCAATGACACCAAAGAATTGGAAATGTGTATTTCAATATTTCTCTTTCTCTCTCTCTTGTTACATTTGTTATTGTTTTTATGTAATTATATTTACATTATAAATTGATATAACTAGTAAATTAATGATGTTATAGTTAAATTGATAGAAAAAAACCAAATGTATATTATGTTACATATTATTTATGATTTGATACCACAAGTTGGTACCAAATCTGGACAAGTTCCAACGTTGCATTTTGGTTTTCCCATAACGCATCGTCTACCATCTGGACAAGGTGGTGCATCGGCACAAGATTTTCCAGGAAGATGAATGTAATCGTCCTTCTGTCCACTGGTACTTGTCGTCAGTGTCGACAAAATTGCGACAACGATACCCAAGACGAATAGCAGCTTCATTTTTAGCAAGCACGTCTTTACTCGAGACCTCGTCTGTCGTGATAATGAAGATGAAGATAAGCGATAAACTAGTTATAAGAGTTAATCCGTTAGAAGGAAATTTAACCGTTTGAGTGCCAAGCGGCGCGATCGCGCTTCTTCTGTCCTGTCTTGAAAACTGCAGCGCTCTGAGCTGCGAAGCCCATAATTACAGCAGGCGCGGTTTCTCTCGATGCACAACTTTACGGTAACCTTTCAATCTTAAAAAAAAAAAAAAAAAAAAAAAAAAAAAAAAATAATATTATTAATAATATTATTTATTCTTTAAATAATATTTTTATATGACTTGAACGCACTGATGTCACTAAGAACTGATACACAGGAGACTGCACGTAAATAAACTAAAAACAGCGCAATCGCGCTGCTTGGCAAATTTCGACGCGGAATATAACAAGCGCTATCGCGCCGCTTGGCAAGTTTCGATCAGGAAATGAGAAAAGCCCGTGGCACTCAAACGGATAATGTAAAAGAAAAAAATGTCGTTAAAAAGAAATCTTACGTCTAACCAACTAACATAAGCTGTTTTCAAACGTGTTTGAGGTTACTCGTTTTCAAAGATTCCAGTAATAAATCTTCCCGAGTTGTTTAAAACGAAAACAACACAACGATTAAATACATTGCTCGACGAGTTCTATCGCATCTCATGTTTATTTCTTTTTTCTATTATTTATCTATTTAATTATTGCTATAAGTAACGTTATTTACAGATTTTTATCATGCAACTTTTTTTCAAATGAACTTTAATAATATCGAAATATCGATCAAGTTCAATACTAAACTAATCTAAAGTTTTGAAATCATTTTAAAAATCAATTACTATTTTTGTGTGTGTATGTTTTTTTTTTATATAAATTATAAGTTTTAATCTTTTCTTATCGAATTTTAATACTACAGAGATATAATAGATGTATAATTTTATTTCCGCCATGTTTTCTTTCTCTATAAACCATCTGTAGGAAAATAACTGAAGCTAATATAATTGATAAAAAATAGAATTGATTTTGAAAATTACATTTAATCAATAAAGTATATATAAAAATACTTTTAATTAAATGATTAAATGAATTCAACTAATATATGATAAATAAAAATGTATTATTAATTAACCTGTTAAACCGGGACGTGGGACGTATAAATACGTCAAACGTATTGTTTTATAGCTAAAGGTACAAAAATTTTCGTACTATTTATATAAATAAATGAAAAAATATATACTTCATAATGTTTTAATTAAATAAATTTAATAAATAATAAATAAATAAATATACAAAAAAAATAATAAATAAATAATATAAAGATGTGTGTGATTAAAAAGGAAATTCCTCTGGTTAAACAGGTTAAAATTAATAAAATTGAAAATAATCAATTAATATGATAAAGTTAATATTTTGAAGAAATAATTTAAACATACCTAAAAAAAAAAAAAAAATATAATAACGATGAACAACACTTTTGTTTTTACGTTGTAAAACACGTACGTTGTCTTTCTTAGACAGGTAACTCACTAAATGTGTTTCGCAATGATTCTACGTCGTAATTTTTATACTTTACAGGACTCGTCCTATCTCTCTTTCTCTTTTCTTGTCTCTTTTACTCTTTCCTCCTTCCTTTTATATATATATATATTTTAAATCTTTTAATCTCTACGAATTAACACGTGACCGGGTATTCGTCATTAGCGTCTCGTCTCGTCTCGTAACATAACCGACACGCGTGAGCGATCACGCGAAGGACACTCAGAACGAGACATGAATCTACTAAATTTTTTCCATACTTTTCCTTTTCGATCCAATTCATTCGATCTTTATTTTTATTTCCTTGTTTTTTACATTTTATTTTTAATGAGACACTGTTAACGCGCAAAACGACATTTCCATTTTGGAATGCGTTTTATACGAATTCCATCTCGTACTATTTCTTATATTTTTTTTTAATATCTTTTTTTCTCTTTCTCACTCTCGTATTTTATGAAATGTTCAAATTGTTCAAGGATTCCAGTTGCGTAAACGTATTTTTTATTTTAAATTCATGATTAGAATTTCTCATTTGCATACTCGCGAATTATAAATATAAATTGAATTTCTTTTTTTTTTTTTTTTGCATGATTTAATATTCATTTATAAACGAGGTTAATTGTTTCTATTTTAAATAATGATTACACTTTTCGTCGCGTCATTTAAACCTTTCCAGAGAACTTGTTTTTTTCATTTTTTCACATTAAAAACAAATCGATTAATAATCAACAACGGTTTCAACATATCTTAACGAAACTATATAATAATATAAAAGGATATAATAATAATCTTAATATATATAAATTACGTGTCACGTTGTTTGTCCGCAATAGACTGCTAAACTACTGAACTGATTTGAATAAAATTTTACACACTGTGTGCAATTTCATCCAACTTGAAAAATAGGATAGTTTATATTTCAATTTATAATCGTAATATTATTTTATTGCCAATTATTTGTTTATTAATTCAAGACGTGTGTATCGGACTGATTGTGAGCCACAGCAACGTGTGGCGGGGCACCCCTAATATAATATAAATATAAATAATAATATAAAGGATATAAAATAATAGGAATTGAACAAATTAAATAATAAATTTAATAAATTTAACAAATAAAAAAAAAATTATTAAGAAACAAAATGATTTAAATTTTCAGCTTCATGCAGCTGCATTGTCATCGTTAAGATCCGAAGTTGCCGATTTAAATTCACGATTATTGATAGCTACTCGTGCGAGAGAAGCTGCTGAAGTAGCTTTAGCAAGAGCAGAAGTTCAAACTGCTAAAGCTGAGCAAAGAGCTGAACAGCAGGCGGCCAGACATGAGGAGAGACTTACCGAATTGCATTCTGTCATTGCCGAGCTTGGCAGACAGTTGGAGAGGCATCGTGCTACCGTAATTGCCGAGGAGGATGAGTCCGGTAAGAAGAAATTCAAGAATTCAATTCTCAAGAATTCTAATACTCCTTTTTCTTTTCTTTTCTCATTCCTTCGTTTCCCCTCTTCCCTCTTGTTTTAATTCCTTTATACTATTCTCTATTGCGAGACGTGAATTATTCAAAGTACTTCAAGCATGCAGGGAATGTTGAAATGTAAATATAACTTCAACTCAACGAATTCATACATAAGTTAGTTATTTTTTTTTTTTTTTTTAGTTTTGTTGAATTTTCATTGAAATTTTGTCTACATAACTATGATACTATTTGAAGATGTGAATATTATTGGGTACATTCAATTTATAGAAATCGAAACCAGTAGGGATGCTGAGGGATCGATTACGAATCCGGTGGAGGAGAGCGAAGGGGGTGGAGATATTCAAGGTGATGGTGATAGAACCTTGGGAGATGCCGATTCCAGTTGCTGCGAGGAAATTGAACATCGTACCAATGAGGTAAAACGGAAGAAACGTTCGTTTCCTATTCCTAAATAATATTTCGGGGAAATGATGTATTTAACGATGATTGCTATATCCTTATTATTCTTGTTACTTCCATTTGTTTTATTACAATTTGTATTTGATTTTCGTCAAAGTTAATCTTCAATAATTGAAGATCAAAAAAAAAACAAAAAAAGAAATGATGGAATACTTGAGAAATTTATTTTTATAGAATGGTAGGGAACAATTGGATAGTCCTGCTGCTTTACCAACCCCAGAACCAACGCAACCAGCAGCATCATGTCAAAGTGTTGCCGTGGCTACTCTACAAGAGGAAGTTACGGCCCTTAAAGCAGAAATCGTGAGCCTTCAAGCACAGTTGGCACAGTTTAAGAATCAGGGACAGAATGGCAATCAGGGACAACTCAATGGGGACTCCCCTCGACGAGAAAATAAAGTAAAAATATATTGAAATATCGTAACATTGACTATGAGAAGGGTGGGAAATGGGAAAAAAAGCGTGTACGTCTTTAACTTTTAATTATCCTATAACGTCGTGCTAACTAGCTCACTCAAAGAAATCAAATAAAATGACTCTCTCTCTCGAGCGGTGAAAAGAGTTCTTTTCAACGCGTTAGATTTGAAGTTTCTTCTTTATCGTATTCACAGACGAGAGGAAACACCAGCTCGCCAGAACCTCTAACCGCACCTTGCTCGCCACTCTTGCCACCCCTTCAAACACCACCGACAAAGAGCGTAACGAGGGAAGAACCGCCGATCCTCAAGATGGCTGAGAGAGTGAGATTAAGGAGAACAGATGAAAGGCATATCACCGGTCCCGATATTACGAATCTCGGTGTATGAATTGAATTATTATTATTATTTTTTTTTTTTGTTACAGTTAAAAATATTACATAAGAATCTAAACATCATATTACAGGTTTGTTCGACCATGGTTGCCGAGCATCTCGTATCTGATCTATTAGAACAATCCAATTTGCAAGAGTTAAACGGTTCGGAAAAACAATTTGAGGTAGAAACGGAAAGATTGAACAGTAGATTGGAACATGCTAGAGCTAACAACGCTGTTCTAGCTTTGACCTTACATGAGAGTAAAGCACAATGCGATAGGTAATTTTATCGAGGACGTTTCAATATGAGAATTTACAAAGATACGTAATTAGGTATACACATTCGATATATATATATATATATATTTTTTTTTTGTTCTTTGCATTTAGATTGAGTTTATTGGTTGGAAAATACGAATCTAATGCAATGGCATTAAGATTAGCGTTATCCTATAGCGATCGTGCCATAGAAGCTTACGATGTTCTCGTAGCTTTATTAGAAAGTGAAATTGCACTTTCTACCGAACGTAATAGCCTTACTATCGATAATAGAAGAGCAGCTGAGAATGTAGCTTATCATCTGTTGAACAGACTTGAAAATGATTGTGCTAATGTTATGGGTGCACCTTGGGAAGATAGTATTATCTTGTCAGATGAGTATGTATATCAAATTGTTGAAAATATTTCAATATGAAATAAGAAACATAATCTTATTGTTTTCATAGATCTGAAGTAACTTGGACAGTTGAAAATGAAGAGAGACTTAGAAGACACATCAGCAAATTAAAAGGTGAACGTGGTATGGTTAGATCAACTGCAGTAGAATTGGAAAGTGTTCATGTTGAACCACTTAATTCAAAAAATACTATATCTCTAGCGGAAGCTAGAAAATTAGATTTAGAGACTGCTGTGCTAATGCAAGTTAGTGTTTAACAATTATAATATTTCAATATTAAATATTGAATAGTAGTAACAAGATATTGATCAATACCAAATTGAAAATATCGTTAGGAACTAATGGCTATGAGAGAAGATAAAGCAGAATTGAGAGCAAGAGTATTTCTTTTGGAAAAGGAAAGAGCTACGATGGAACTGAAATTAAATGCACAGGAAACGCAAATTGCAGCTCAGCATGCTGCTATAGAACATCTTCAAGGACAACTTAACGATACAGAGGCTATGTTATCGATGAATAAAGTAATATACTTTTTACATATACATTTTTATAAATGTATCATCTAATAAAATCAAACAATGTGTTATGATTTTATTTGTAGGATCGAGGTCTTAGCGATAATGAAAGTGAGGGTATTGAATCTGAACTTATAGAAGCATTGGGTAGAGAAGCAAGATTGAAAGAACGTCTTCAAGAATTAGTTTCAACATTAGATAAAGTAAATAAGAATTCTGAATTGAGACATCAACAATCTGCAGAACTTGTGAACGATTTGAAAAAAGCTAACAGGTGATATATTTTCTTTTGTCAATTGTAATTAATTGATTTTGAATTAAAAATGACATTTCTGTTCATTTATATAATATTTTAGCACTCTGGTACAAACGTTGGAAAAGACAAAGAAAAAATATCAATCTAGATTAAAGAAATTAGAACAACAAATGTTGGGAATGGTGGAAAGACATACAACGCAGGTATGAATAATAAATATCCTGAGGTAGATATTATATTTGCATTTGTACTTTCAATTCAAATTTATTATTATTTTTTATAACTTGTTGTTTGTGAGCATGGAATATGTTATGTTTATCTAACTACAGCCTCAAGATATTTTTATTTCTTTTTTTTAAAGTTTATTTCATAGAACAGATTGTTTGAATCTTTCTACTGAATATAATTTATTCTCTATTATGCATCTTTATATAATGCATATATGTATTTGATATTATTATAAGTTACTATGTCAATTATTTGTTAGCTTTCCATTGTTTTAATTCTTCAGCTAGCAGCTTATCCACATCGGAGAGAGGTTGGTATATAATGTGAACAGTCTGTGCTCCAGCAAGCATAGTTAACATTGATATAATACTAAATTTAATGAATCGCCAAGACATATCTTTTAATATTTGACAGTTCTTTGAAATAATATCTTTAATAACTTTTAGTACTCATTAGTACTCAGACATTGTCTCTTGCATCTTTACGCAAATTATCTGCAACCATGTCTTGAATAAGTCGTTTCTTATATACTTTATAAAAGTTAACCTCTCCAACATGCCAATTGATCATACAATATTCTAACAGTGCACCACTAACAAAAAATAATGGTAGAAAACGATAAACACCAAAAATCTTTTCACCGGGCCACTTTTTCAAAACTTTTCTTACTGTTTTGTGGTAATTTATCATTAGTACGTTTGAATATCTTACAATACACCACAGGAATATTCTTACTTAGCAGCCATATTGAATACTATGCGCGCGCATTCCTGCATCTATATATATGTATATGCACCAGACGAATTATTGACTGTTCAATATATATATATATATATATATATATATATATATGTTACTATATAAATAAATTTATTTATACATATTTATAACATAAAAGTAATGAAATTTGTAAATAATTTATTTATAGGTTAAATCACTGCAACAACGCATAGCTTTGCTTGAAGAAGAAGCATCGGTATATAAAGGAAGTTTACCATTACAATCGCAAAGCTCAGGAGCTAGTGAAACATCTTTATGACAATTAAGTGACTAATTAAAAAATGATCTAAACAACGTAAACGTAATTTATTCAAATGCGTTTCCTGTCGTCGCGAAACGTGCGAAATAAAGATTAAATTTATGTATTTTTTTACTCGAATAATTTCTTAAGCATGACGCTTTGCTATTCGCTTTGTAATTTTATGAAGATATATATATATATATATATTGATATATCATTCTATTGTAGAATACAGAAATTTATGCTGGGAATTGTGACGTGCTATGAATACTTCGACGCGTGCAAGCTATTATAGTAATATGATGAATTATAAATATAAATTACTAGTAATGTTGTTTCATTCATAGCAGTGATATTTACTTGTAAATATGTATATTGTAAGCATAAACAGAAGTGTGATACATATAAACAATAATTAAATAAATTGTGCTTTATTATATTTAACATTCATATAATATTGAAATATTGTACTTTCGTAATTTATAATGCAAAATTTCTTATGAACATAATTCGAGTCTTTCTTTTTTTTTTTTTCTCTCTCTTTATATTTATATTTACAGTGAGTCACAGATATTATTGCGTATATGATTTTAATATATTTATACTTGCATTATATAAGCAAATATCAATTCTATAAAATTGACAGATGCAAATAATCTCACATTTGTGATTCATCGTATTTATTTAAATAAGATTATAACATATCTTGATTTTCAGCAAGATTCATTTGCATTGCCATAACTTCTGTAGCACTTTTTCCTGGAACAGCTGGTTCTTCATCACCTGGTACATGATTTATTTCTACTATCTCTTCTTTATTCATTAATGATTTTTGTAAATGTATTTCCTCTTCTATATGTACACACGCCTGTTCAATTTCATAATTCTTTGAAACTAAACCGACCCATTGTGCTTCCAACGCTCTTAATTTTTCTCCTCCTTGTGTTTGCATTGATTTCCTTTGCCAATTAACTTCTTGAATCTGTTTCCTTAAAGTCTGCACTTGTTTCTGTGCTTGACTAAGTAACTGAACTAATACCTCCAAGTAAGATTTCCAAGCTTCACAACCATACTCCATCATTAAATCTAAATTACATATCCTACAATTTTCAAATCAAAATTGTAATACAAGAAATATAATATATAATTAATTTGACATAACATCATAAAGATTTTACCTAGTTGCTTGATGTTCCAATTGAGCACTACTATTTTCTACACTTTCATTCCAGGCTGCCAAATCATTCATTTTACCAGGTGGTGGTGGTGGAAGTTCATAACGTTTCATACTGAGTACCTCCATGGGTGAACGATTCTGCATTCTTTCAAATTCATGTTTCATTACATCAGTCTCAAATGCATTAATATTTAAGGGAGGTAAATGTTCCAAATAATTTTTTGTTGGTCTGTATCGTCTTGTCTCTTCTTCCACCATTGCCAAAGCCTGAAATTGAATAATAAAATAATAAAATACTCCAAATGTCAATTATAAGCTTGTATTATATATCCATAGTAAAACTTTAAAAACATAATCTATATTACACTAGGTATAAAGTTTCATATATACACATTATATATTATTTATTATAAATTACATACCGCTTCCCTAACACCTGGTTCGTCATATCCTTGGTCTATGTAAGGTAATGCATCAACAATAACCTCTCCAGCCATTTTTTAATATATACATATACAAAAATTCAATTTATGCAATTTTTTGTATACATACAATTATCACATGTAATAACACTTTACACTACACAAACACTTCTTAACCAATATTAATGAAACATTACAGAAAAATTCACTTTAAGGTTATTTATATTAACTTTCAATGCAATTAAAATCACATTTCTATAAAACTGCATTTCTCAATATATAAATTTCTTAACCAATAGAACACAACATTAAAAACTAAGCCTTAAGGTTATATATTGCTTGCAGCGCCCCCTAGCAGAAGAAAAATGTATTTAATAAGAAGTATTCAATACAACAACCGTATGGTACGTGTCGCTAAAATTCGTCGACTGAGCATGCGCCAGCTGAGTACTCCCGTTTCCGCTGCGTTCTCTCTTTCTTTTATGGTAGGTAAGTCGGAAGCACTGCCTGCCTGGCTTATGTTCGTTGGAAAAGTGTGAAATATAACGCGAGATGGTAAGAATAAATTATAATCTTTATTATCAATTTTATATCGATCATGTAATATTAATTTTTTATAAATATTTATTCTTTTTCTTATTTCTGTATCCAAAAGTTTAGTGTTTCGATGATAATTTGTTTCGTTGACCACGTGTAATCTGTGTACTTTGGTAGAATGTATTTTTATAGATTTAATTTGTTTTCTTTTTTTTACTATTTTTATTTGCATAATGATCTATTTTTAAAGATTCATCTATAATTTATTACGATAATACAATCGAAGAAAAGATTTCTACGAAAAATTGCATTTGAAAGAAGAAAATGTCGTTGCTTATTTCTCCGGCCGCCATGTGCATATAAGAATTCATTTGATTATCTCCAATAATACTTTCTAATTTCGCTAATCAAACTTTTTAATATTATGTTATAATTATTAAGAAATGAAAAATAAAAAAAAACTTATTTTAATATTTAACCTAATATTTGTTGTATTATCTTTATTTTAGTCGTTATCAACGGCGCGTCCTTTGGTCACTGTATACAGTGACAAAAATGAACCATCAGGAGAAACCATTTCTTTGCCATCGGTGTTCAAAGCACCGATACGTCCTGATATTGTAAATTTTGTTCATCAACAAGTTTCGAAAAACAGTAGACAACCCTACTGCGTTTCAAAAGAAGCTGGTAATTATATTTTTTTGTTATAATCATTAACCAATTAACCTATATTATATTTCAAATTAAGTGTACAATAAATTAATACGATAATAAATAAATAAGTGAATTTTATATTCTAGGCCACCAAACTTCTGCCGAGTCATGGGGAACTGGTCGTGCTGTAGCACGTATTCCTCGTGTTCGTGGTGGAGGTACTCACCGTTCTGGTCAGGGTGCATTCGGTAACATGTGTAGAGGAGGACGCATGTTTGCACCGACTAAACCCTGGAGAAGGTGGCATCGGCGTATCAATGTAAACCAGAAAAGATACGCTCTTGTATCTGCTATTGCTGCATCTGGTGTTCCTGCATTAGTTCAATCTAAAGGTAAATTAATAATTTATAACCTAAATTAATATATACATATATATATGTCTATGATGATTTAGCTTTGGTCCGTGTTTCTGATCAACTGATTATACATAAGCTTTTGTTCTGAGAGTATAATAATGTATTATTAATGTATATATATACAGTTCTTCCTAATTATTATAATTTAAATTGATAATATTAAATATGTTTACAGGACACATGGTTCAAGAAGTCCCAGAATTCCCTCTTGTAGTTTCTGATAAAGTTCAGGAATATAATAAGACCAAACAAGCAGTCATCTTCTTAAGACGTATCAAAGCATGGAATGATATTCAAAAGGTAATTGAAAATATTATTAAGAATATTTATATTGGCACTGTACAATGTCCACATTTTAACTAAGTCAATTAGTTTTGATGTTCCAAATCAAGTGCTAGAGTAATATAGTTGTTACAGGCGTTCTAAATTAGTATTACTTTTTATACTAATTTGGGGTATGAACAACTGCACACGTTTTTATTTTATTATAAATATTATTTATTATTGTATTTTTTTTTAATTGTTTCTATTAAACAATATTTAATATTTGTTTATAGGTGTATAAGTCTCAAAGATTCCGCGCTGGTAAAGGTAAAATGCGTAATCGTCGTCGCATTCAACGTCGTGGACCTTTGATCGTTTACGGAGAAGACAAGGTTTTTAAATTATATAAAATAATACAAAAAAAAAAAGTAATCTTCTATTTTCTAATTAAGTATTTGTATTTAGGGTATACGCAAGGCATTCCGGAATATTCCTGGAGTGGATCTAATGAACATAAACAAAATGAATCTTTTGAAGTTGGCACCTGGTGGCCACGTTGGCAGATTTGTTATTTGGACGCAATCTGCTTTTGATAAATTAGATGCACTTTACGGAACTTGGCGTAAACAATCTAAACTTAAGGCAGATTACAACTTGCCTTTCCCTAAGATGGCGAATACTGATTTGTCGAGACTTTTGAAATCTGAAGAAATCAAAAAGGTTTTGAGAGCTCCAAGGTAATATTTCTTTTTATTGATATTAAATTATATAATAATTCTATTATTCTTTTTATTTTTTTATTTTTACATATGAATATGATGATTTTAAGGTCCGTGTTGTTGATTGACAGTGATTACAATTTTTAACCACCTCTGATGTTTAAACATTCATTCAAAATCTAAACTTAGTATTCTCTTAGAAAATTTCTAATGCTAGATTTATTATCAAATTACAGGAAGAAGGTTGTACGTAGAGTTAAGAAATTGAACCCATTGAACAACACACGTGCTATGTTACGATTGAATCCATATGCAGCTGTATTGAAACGTGCAGCCATTTTAACAGCACAAAGACGTCAATATGAAAAAGATTTGATCTTAGCTGAAAAACGAGGAGTAAGTAAAATAATATCAATCGATTCATTCATTTCATATGTTATTCATTGTACAACAAGTTTTGTGATACAAATATGATAATATTTTTCTTTTATTTTTAGATTGAACTTCCTAAAAATGCACCAGCTCTCAAAGCTAAGAGACTAAAGGAAAGACGTACGAAACAAATGTTGGCATATAAAGCATTAAAGGGAAAGAAACCTGCTCCCAAGAAAGCAGCATCTGCACCAGCTAAAGCTGCTAAGCCAGAGCAAACTAAAACCGATGCTCAAGCAACAAAAGCTAAAAGTCCACAACCAGCAGCAAAATAAATATAATTAATCAGCTTTTGTCGTTTATTCAACATTTTTATTTCATTATAAATAAAATCTTGAGAAATGACGAAATAATAATTACATTTATATTTCGATCGATCATCGTTGAAAATACTTTATATATATATATATATAGGTATAAAAAATTTCTGTTTTTTACATTAATATAAAATTTAACAATGTTCTATAAAAGTGGAACTCTCATAAAAATGGTATTATCATCGAATACTTCGATAGATGCAATTTTTGCATTTGCTTCCATTGGAATGAAAAAATTGATATTTCTAATATGACGTTGACCACCCAATTCTCGTAATTTAATATTTAAAACATTTTCCGTAGCTAAAGCAGCAGTACTTACTTTAAATCCTTCTATCTTCATTTCTGCCTGTAATATATTTCCATTCTTTTTTTTTTTTTTTTTTTTTTTTTTTTTCTACACAATTTATACAATTAAAGAATTTAAAGTTAGTTACATTTTGATGAAAAATCACTCACAGCAAAATATTCTTTACTATTAATCATATAAAAATCTGGTATTTGTGTCAACTTAAATCGCGTTTTAAATCCACTTGAAATCATTTTAAGATCAATATAATCATTTTGTTTTAATAATATGGCGTTGTCCAAACAATGCTGAGGCAAATTTTCCATAATTAATCGATGATGAATTATTACAAACGTAACAAGAATTGCAGGTATCCGTTTATAGAATTCTAACCTGGCATTTGTAAGATGTTCAAATTACACAGATAAATTGATTAGATTAAAATTCTTTTGTTTCGATTAACTATTTTCAAAGTTGATAAGAGACAAACAAAAATAAGAATGACCAGTTTTTTTTTTTTTTTTTTAGATATCCTGTAAAAAAACAAAATATGCTTAGAATATTTTAATATTTTGAAAATGTATATCGCATATTATCAACTTACACGTACATTTGACAAAGAGATTTATTTCAATTGATCACATTTTTCGTGTTTTACTAGGTTTAATACTAGGTGCAGTTAAAATGAGCATTCTATGTTTATTGTCAACAACAGCGCGTATTTCATCGCTGTCAATAGTTTCCGGTATAAGTAAGTTTTCTCGATGTTTAATAATTAATTTGGTTAAATCGTTAGATACCGATTTTTCAATAATATCCAATAAATCTTTCCTTAAGCGTCTTAGAACGCTTACTCGAAGGTTATTACCCTTAACAGTTATTTTAGTGGAGGACATGTCAACTTCCGGTGCTAGTAACATCTTAGCCTTTATAAACGATGAATAACACCGTGATTGATAATTTTTAAAATTATTTATATATATATAGATATAAAATTAGGTTAAAACCTAAAGCTTCCTACTATAGTATCGATCATTTTTTTTTTTAACCCTCCCTCATGAAAAAAAAAATGGTTGATTAATTTTATATTCTGTAAGGTCACTGCTTTATATAAGTTATTACAAAAAAAAAAAAAAGAAAAGGGAAAAATTAATGAGCTTCAACCTTTTGATGGTTTTATGATTTTTATATAATACGTGTTATAAAAAAAAAAATATTTATAAAAAATAATCTATCAATTATTATTCTTCTTTCTGATATTTTTTGGAGTGTTTTTCTTCTTTTAAATATTGGTATTATAATATTGTTGTTGTATATACATATACATACATACATACCTCGTAAAAATGATCAGGTCGAATACCTATGGAAACTATTTGCACAATGTAACTGTTATCCAATGATTTGGTTAATGATATTTTATTAGAATCATTTATTCTTTTATCGTGTAATTTTGGACAGTAAATGCTACCTGTCTCATGATCGCCATGACATTTTGTACATTTTTCATTTGATCCACTCATTTTTGTATACATTAAGAATTACGTTTGTGTAATTTGATTGATTTGATTTGATTTGATTTAATTCTTATCAAAGATCATAATCGAGAGTTAAAATAATAAATAAATAGAGAAAATTTCTGAGGTTATCAAAATTTCAATAAGACTTATCAATTTAGGGTGAAAATGTAATTCAAGTTCACTTATTTATGTGAAAATCGTAAATAATTGACTAAAGGATTAATTACGTGGATGATACAAACGATTATCGATTGGAATTCATGCAAGAGATGCAACTTCGATTATGTTGGTCGGAATTCATTAAAAAAAAAAAAAAACCTAATCAAATAGGAATTTTTGTAAAAAAAAAAAACAAACATATTTTCAACAAGTTAATTACGTCAGTTCTGTTCAACTTTTCCAATTTTAGTTCATTAAATCGATATTTTTATATAACTCGTATTAATACGATCTAAATAACATCGATAAAAATACATCGATTTAAATTTAAATTTAAATTATATCAAAAAAAAAAAAAAAAGGTGAATCATTAAACTTGATTTTTTTTCTTCAATTTTGAATTAGGCTTCTTTTAATAATTCAAAAAAGTTGATAATAATTTGATTGCTAGAGAAGTTTTGTTTTGTATATTTTTCAAAAAGTTATCTCACGAAATAATTCTATTTAATTACATCATGATTTATTCTATTTTTTTTTTTTAAATGTAAGAATAAAATTAATGATTTGTTTTTTTTTTTTTTTGAAACAAAGAAACTTTCAGATTAACGTTTTCACGATTTAAATATATAATACATAATCTAATTCGCGTTCCAATTACAAAAGTATGATAAAATCCTCGTGAGGTAGTCATTTTAATTCATGGTTTTCTTTTTTCTTTTCTTTTTTTTTTTTTTTTTAAACCTCGATGCTTTGAATTGCATAATCGAGATTAAAACATCGCCATCTTGAATATAAATCCAACATCCGTATGTATGTAAATACATAATTACGTTCGTATTTAACACACGCCTGAATACTTGAATATTCATCATTTGTATATTTTTAGTAGTTATACGAATATTTTCTAAAGAAATAAAACATTATCATCCATTTTTTTTTTTTTTTTTTTTTTT